ATATATAATATTAATATATTTATTTAATTTAATTAATTTAAATATTTTTTCACATTACCATATGTATGAAATATTATTTATTTATTTAATTTAATTTAATTTAATTTAATTTAATTTAATTTAATTTAATTTAATTAATTTAAATATTTATTTCACATTACCATATGTATGAATTATTCGATATGTAGAGAATGTGGGCTCTCACTGACTACTTAGGGTCATGTTATGCAGAGTGTCTCGGGCACGGCACGAGTACAATTGTTATTGTTTTCAATGCAAACACGGTTGCCACTTGAAAATTTTTTCCTGTACCAAAATTGGTTTAAAAAGGTACCATTTCTGCAAAAAAAGGTACAAAATGTTTTTGGACCTTTTTGTTTTTTTGTTCTGTGTTTTTCATAGTGTTATAAATGAACAATTTTGGTACTAAAGTACCATAAATGGCAACCGTGAATGCAAATTTTAAATTTGAGAATGAGAGAAAAAACAATATGGCCGTTCAAACTCCAGCATGAGAGCCGGCGTATTTGTGCCCCGGCACTAAGGCAAAACAGTGTTGTTTAGCAATAAATTTCAAAATTTGCGCCTTTTAGGAGCAAATTACTACAGCCTTCTTACTATATAAATCGTTAATAATATAATTATTACACTTTACGATTTTAAAGAAAGGCGTAAGTACTATTAACAATTATTATGAGATAATATAATAATAAATTAACATTATTACAGCCTCTATGAGTTTTTTCTTGCTAGTTATTTTTGGTGGCAAATTCCCTCATTCACGTGAAAGTGCACCAACTTAACAAATCTATAAATGTTTCTAATTTTACAAAACCACGGTTCTGTCACGTCGGTAAGAATTGTATCCCGAAAATTTTTAACCTTCTGTTTATCAAAGATGGGCATTGACAAAGAAGGTGAGACATGGATTTCTCTTCAGAGCCACAATATGACAAAAATTATTAAAGGGGAGACTCAGTTTCGTAGTATGTACAACTTTGCAAGTCTATAAAGTTTCTAATTTTGCAGGACGACAGTTCTTATCAGGTCGGTAGAAAAAAATGTATCCGGAAAATTTTTAATTTTCTGTTGGCCAAAAATGAACCTTGACAAAGAAGGTGAGACTTGAATTCCTCCTCCACTTATTAGGGTACTCCATTTCATAGCATGTCTGCTTAGTATTTCAACACTGATATCGTAGTGCTACTGAACAGGTTCCACTTTAGTTGAAGCAGCTGACTAGTACGTCATTGTCCAGTTAGAACCAAATCGATTTTTATTTTGAAATTTGGCAACCATTTTCATCTGTCAACCTGTTATCGTAATGCCTCAAATAAACACGTCTAATAGACATCTAAAGAAGTAATAAAATAAAGTCAAATCAAATATATAGATCAGTCCAACACACACACTGTAAGAAAGGATTGTTTGTCTGTTGTAACAAAAAAAATAAAAATAAAAAAAATATATTAAAAAATAAGTCATCACAACCCCCTTCATTACAGAATTAATTTATCAATTAATTATGCTATGCAAAACTGAAGAACAACAGCAAAGAAATGAAAACTCATACAAGTTTTTTATCAAGATTTTTTTATTAAAAAATGAAGAGTGAAAATGTTCAAAAAAAAGTATAAAAATTAAAAGCTAAAAAAAAAAAGTTTTTTTAAGGTAAAAATCAAAAGTCAAAAAAAAAATATTTAAATGAACTTTAATTTATCTTCAGTTTATATTTAAAAAAAAAAATTAAAGCAAAAAACGCAAAAAAAAATTATTTATTAATGTGTTAAGTTCTTGAAGATTCTTCAAGAATGTTCTGTCAGAAATGAAGACAACATTAATTTATATAAGAAAACTGGCCAAGCCTCTGTCGCTGATGGGCTTGAGATACTAAATAAATTGAAGATAAATTTAGTATAGATATTAATATGAGTTATTTATGTACTTTTTTAGAAAGTTTTTATTTGAAATTATAAAGTAAATTTTTGTTTTTTCTTTTTTGATATTTTTTTAAGTGTTTAATAAATCAAGTTTAATTGTAATGTTAGCAATGTTGATGAAGGGTTCGACTCTATCGTGCTATATGTCGTGCTAAGAAAGAAATTTTCACAATCCAAGAATTTTAACAACTTTATTTTGCTGCACGACAGTCTGAGTCTGACTCTGATGTCGAACGTCAACAGCATTGCTGGCAATTGTAAACAAGCAACAGATACTGTTGTATACGCCTTCTATGAAGGAAACTTCTTTGTAAATGCTAGGATGCAGCGCTTTAACTAAATTTATAATATGTAAAAAAATTTTATGCCATTAAAGTAAAAATCGTTTTAAGTAATTTAAAAAAAAACCATTGTTAAGGGATGTGCAGTTCTGAACAACGCCAACGCCAACGCCATCAGTCTATCTCAACATCATCTAAATTGAGAGTTCGATTTTAATTTGAGTATCATCAATCATCAATCATCAATATTTGTAACAAGTAAAGAGAGTACAATCAATCGAGTCGTAATTGATCGAAGCAATTAACGTTCCTTTAAAGGCGTTCAGCAATTGCTGAAGAGTTTACTTATGCCCAGATTAATTTTAATTTATCAAGCCGCCTTGACCTGACCTCTGACCGGTTGACAAAGAGAAGAAATTTATAATAGAAGTCGCGACTCATAGCTGCACATCCTTCTTTGATAGAATGAAATATGAATGTTATTCCTATATATTTTTGTAAAACGAAAGTAAGAAACAAAATGTAAAAAAAAACGCAAAATAATAAAATGTAAAAAAAAGTAAAATAAAAAATAAAAACACAAAAAAAAGAACAGCCAACAATTGTGTAAGATTGGCCTGTCAGTTAAGAGCCTTATATACAAATATCACAAATAATTATAATTACAATGTTCAAACTTAGGTGGAAGTGCTCGAAAAATGCAACAGCTCGTTGTTAACAAAAATAACTAACATTCTAAATGTTATGTTAACCAAAGTTTAATAAAGAATTGCATTTCCCCAAATTTTGCATTATTAATGTTTTTTTTTTTTAACAAAGTTTGTGAACTCATATGATGGTAAGTACCTAAAAACTTTAATAAGGAAACTCCTTGATGATCTGATTCAATAAACAGATCATTTTCAAGCCATTTATCAACCACCCTAACATTAAACACAACTTTAACATATATATATATTAAATCCTTCAACTCCTAGGAGGAGCATTGGGTCGCAACAAATATCTTTCACTCGGCACGATTGGTGGTCTGTAACTATAACTCTCCCCAACTTTTCCGCATGTGTGACATTTCCATGTCAATTTGCCTTCTAACATATACTAAGAATAAACTAATACATCAGATAAATATTTATTTCCTACAAGTAGTTATTTGTCGTAATCGAATATGTTATATCCCTCTCTCGGCCGGAGTTTTGTACCGAGGGAGAGATATAATGGAAAATATTTTTTTGGTTATTTGTTAATAATCGAATAAGCTACAAATACCCCCACCACGAAGTAGCAGCATAACCGGTATTGTGCCAAGAACTGGATATACTAGCAGATATTATTTTGGTAGTAATTATATGCAAATTATATCGTCATTGCAGAGAAATCCATCTCCACATCCCACCCCTCGGCTACGCCACCGCCACGAATAGATTTCGAATGAGTGAATATTAAAACCTAAAGGTGAGTCTTAATTTTTTATCTATAATAACTAACAGAAGCAGTTGTTATTCTGTATATTTTGTTTTTGTTATGTAGTAATTAGTGCTGCCGTTACGGTGAAGGCAAGCGCTATTGATTCCAACAAGATGAAGCAACTTGCTATAAAGCGCGCTTAACGCATTGTCAGTTAAGTATTAGGCTTTTTATGGGGTTATGTTAATTCATGCCACCATTCACGTCATACGGCCATATTTATTGGAAAAAATAGTTAAAAATTAAACTAATCGAATAGACCATATAACAACTCGATATACATTATTTAAATTTAAGTTATTTTTACCAAAATACTGTTTCAAAACAGTATCTGTATCTAGTGTTGACACTATATGAGAGGCGCTACGTGGAGTACCATCTAGACAACGTGGGACGTACTAGGTAATGTCTTGAATCCTTTTGTCTTCCGAATAATAACTGTTAGTTATTAGATACAGATACAGGCCTACATAATACTAGGAATAACAGTTACTAGTTTAACAGACTAGTGACAGTTGTTGTTGTAACCCGCTGAGACCTACTTCTGAAGTCCTTTTGGGAGGTATTGAACGACACTTGGTCGTCGCTGGCAACGAGTGGTTCCGAAACGTAGACCCGACCGTTTTGGGAACAAGTGAGCTTCTTTTTCGGCTATATCTCCGATATTATTTTGAATTTGAAAATGGTTTTTCGAAGAAATACTTATAAATGTTTAAGCATTAAAAAATTTGCACGTCAAATAAAAAAAAATTTGTTTTTCTAGTTCCAGAAATTCTCTTAAAGTAAAAGTTAGAGAAGACACCAATGAAAATTACTTTACTAATTATGAATACATATCACAAGATTTTAGTTTTACCAATTAAAATTTATTTTTTAATTCAAAATCGTTTTTTAAACGAATAACAAAATTTACACAAAGTTGTCTCTTTTTTTTCACTTTAACATTTAGAATATTTTACTTTGTATTTTGTTATTTAAAAACAAATTTTTACACATACTCGTACATTTAGTTTTTATTTAAATTTTATTTGTGGGAAAATTATTAATTAACAATGTGGATAAATTGTTTTGATTGATTTGTTTGTAATAATTTTTTTAAATTATATTAATTAAATTTGGATTTTTGCGAAATGAAGAAAGAGAAAAACAAAATTTCAAGAAACTAATAAGGTGACATAAAACAACTGGGAGAATGTTTGTCTATAATAATTCCTAAAGTCTAAAAGTATAATTTTTCAGTTATGCATATTTTTCCAATCTTTGTTTTGTTTTTTTTTTTTTGTGTTGGCCCATTTATTTCTGCTCCTTCTCAGTTGCATTTTTATGCATTCCTCATAGCTTTTTTTAGCCAATGTCATAGGTTCAACCAAGCAAATTGGTTAACTGTGCGTACTGTTTGGAATGGTACGATATTTAGTCTGGCGCATTTATAACTGAATAGATGTTCGCCCATAAAGTACGTTTCCATTGAAATATTTAACATACGTTTCATGCTAGGTACTTCCGTTAATAAAGAAAATTGTTTATAATTTCTTGTCAATCGCTCTCCATTCTTGTTGCAACGACGGCTGGTTAATGTTTTTAATTCTCTAGTTTGCATTGTCTCCTTCCGTTTCCCTTTTTTGTTGGTTTATATTTGTTGTTCAAAAGCACACATTTGCACACAATTGTACATTTTTGTCAAGATCACCGCGTCCTTCAATGTGTTTCACTATTTCCAAACTTCATTGAAAATATCTGGAAAGTTGGAAAAGTCATTAACGCTTTTCAAGTATTCTCTCAGTATCTTCAGCGTCTGCTAATGCAGTGTTCTGTGTGCATAGTTGATTCAAAATTTTTATTTGTAGTTATAAAATTTTTTTTTTGTAATTTTGTTGACGGTTGATTGTTTAACGTAGCGTTATAATCAACCATAGGATCAATAAGGCGGTTGAGTCAATTGGCTTTGGCTGTTAAAGCCCAAACTTAGACGATCACTCTGTAGCTGAGCCTAAAATATAAGTTATATATTAGACAAACACAATTTGTAATAAAACTAAATACCAAGATAAATTCAAAGAAAGGTTCAATTTACTTACTCCTGATATATCTTGAGATAAAACATCTATTTGGGAAATTTGTCCAAAATCTTGAGAAAGATCCGGTTGTTGCGATAGGGCGAATCCACCGTGCTGGGACATATTTTGAGTAAGTGGTGACGCACTAGCTTGTGATATAACGCTTGTAAAACTATTGGCCAAAATGGGACGTCCTTTGCCACCCTGCTGGTTCCTAGTAGAACCGTTAGAACCATTAGTTTTAGTCTGCCCATTACCACCACCGTTTCGTCCTTGTTTTACAGCAGCTTGCACCGCTTGTTGATTATAAAAGCGACGAGGCATATTTCCCATATTCATAAACATACCAACAGGTACGGGCATATTATTCAAAGTTGCACGCACACGTTCTGGGGAAACATAACTAATAGAATCATGTTGATTGCCCCACTGTTGATAATTGGATACAGCATTTTGTGTGGCGTTGCCAACAGGAACACGTCCGCCTGAATAGCTAGGTCCTGTCATATAATTTTGTGACATCAACATACCCTGATTTGAGTTAAAGTTTCCACCACCCATACCAGTATTGAAACCCAAACCAAAACTATTGCCAGGTAAATTACTTGGACCACTACTAATACCATAATTGCTAGTTCTGTCGTATACAGATCCAGGTACAATAACTTCTTTTGCATTTGCCATTATTGTATTCATAAAGTGTGCACCCATATTAAGTGTATTAACAATTTTCTTCGGTTTTTGAAATTGTATTAAAGACTCCTTCAAATTGTTCAAGGAACCTTCAACAAGTACTTTGCGATCCTTGTAGAAATTTAACAAATGATTCCACAATGCTTGTTTTGATAAAACTTTCGGGTTTCCAACAATAATTGTGCCATACTTGGAACGAGTTAAAGCAACATTCAAACGACGAGGATCATTTAAGAAACCAATACCTTAAACACAACCACAGAAGTCATATGATTATTGAAATTAATAATATAATACAATAATACAATAATACTATAATAATACAATAATACTATAATAATACAATAATACTATAATAATACAATAATACTATAATAATACAATAATAATATAATAATATAGACTAAGATTAATAAGATTATATTATAAGAATGATATATTTAAATTATGTTTTTATAAAAATTGACAAAAAAATCATTTACCTTGTCTTTCATTGGAACGTACGCACGACATTATAATCAAATCTTTTTCTCTACCTTGAAAAGCGTCTACACTGGCTATTTCAATTTCTTGATAGAGTTTTGAATGTAAACTACCTTGGTATTGCATATATTGTACTAGGTAAGCTCTCTGACCTTCATATGGTGTTATAATACCAATTTGCTCTGGTCTAACACCTGCTTTAAGGAATCGTGTTGTAATTTTTTCAACATTTGCAGCTTCAGTGCGATTTAAGTAAGAAGTTCCGGAACCAGCAATTTCTTCCTGACCTTGAGTAACTAGGAAAAACATTGGTCTATCCGGTTGAGGCCAAGGAAAATCAATTTTAAGTTTCCGATCTTCTGCACATACACCATTTTGCAAGGAACCCTCATAAAAGAAGTTAGACGGAAATTGTGAAAGCTCAGGATGCATACGATATTGTACTTCTAAACGGAATGGTCTAATACCCAGCACAACCAATCTTTCAAACAAACTTTGTGATAGACCAGCACGTGCCGCTTTTTTACACATAACAACTGGTCCTAGTTGGCAATGATCACCGACTAGTATTAATTGTTTTGCACCTAATACAACTGGCACCATACATTCCGGTTCTGTTGATTGCATAGACTCATCAATAAGTATAGACGAGAACTTAATTCGTGCTAAGCGCGCATCACCTGCTCCTACGCAAGTGCAACAAATTACATCGGCAGCTTCAAGTAATTGATTTTCAGCTCCACGTTTTAAGCTACGATAACGCTTTTCATCAGCTGAACTAAGCTCACCAGTTTCATCTTTTAATTGTTGCAATTTTTTCAACTCAGAATTAGTTTCCATGCAACGAATTTGATTATGTAAAGCTAAAAAGCTGACTGGACTATCAATAGATTCTCTCGATTTAGCACACACACGTACTGCTTTCAGATTAGTTAAATGTATCTTTTCTGTTAGCTGATCTACTGCGGTATTACTAGGAGCACAAACCAATATGGGTCCACCATGTTGTTTAACCAACTGATACACTATAGTAGCAGAAGTAACAGTTTTTCCTGTGCCAGGCGGTCCTAAATAGATTTAAAAAAACCACAGTATAATAGCTTACATTTTACGAAAATATTTCTAACCTTGAATTAAACTAAGTGGACGTTGTAAAGCATGTTTCACTGCATACACTTGCGAACGGTTTAGGTCGGGGAGATTAGGAGCAGTGTAAAGTTTGGGTGGTTGTGACCGAAATAGAACTTCATCATTGCCATCTTGACGACCATGACCCAATAAACGAGAGTATATAAAGTTAGAAACAGAATTGCGATCCATTGCAAATAATTTTAATGCACGAGTCATACGAGTGAATGAAGTACTTTTCCAAATGAAGTCGACGGCAAAATTCGAAGTGCATTTAACTGGAGCATCGGGTGATGCTTTCAATTCTAAACCAATATCATCGCCATAATTATCAGGCACTTTAATAACATGCCCAACTTCGCTCCATGCTTTATGCATCTCTCCAACATATCTTAAACGCAACTCATCACCATGCATTAATTTCATATCAGAGTCAGTTTTTGCCAACGTAAAGTAAGCAATATTTTTTTTATTTAGACCAATATCCCAACGAACTTCAATATTTTCCTGAGTTTGGGATTCTTTAAGTTTCTTATCGTAGTCAGCTTCGAGACGTACGAGCGGTCCTAAAATTTTTTCGTACTGATAACCATCTTCGTAACGCATTAACACTTGTGCTGGTTCAGTGTCAATTCCAGGCTTCTCTAAATCTTGAAAGGTGGCATCAATATTTTCTTTCCATAATTCTTCTAGCTTATTAATTTGTGCTGCTGATATTTGACGTGCTCGTAACTGTTCTTGCTCGCTTGGTGTTTTAACTAGCCATGACAAAAAACAACGATCAGATATAAGAGGTTTCCATTGATCTTGTTCCCAATTTAAATCTTTCAATGAATTTTGTGCAGCACATGGTTGTCTTTAAAAACAATAAAATTGTATAAAACAATAAATTTTGTAACAAAATTTAAACATAATTCTTAACATACCGACATAGTAAAACAACTACAGAATCTGCTTTAGCTGGTATAAATCCTAGTAGAAACACATTACGAACACCACAAGAATAACACTCCAAGACTGTTTCGCCTAATGGCCCGTCTGAGTGCAGGGTGACTTCACGATGTTTAGCACGTACTAAGTGATTAATGATATGGGAACCAGATGTACTGCCTCGACCATTACAAAACCACTTTTTACAGTTATTGCACATGACTACCGTTCTAAATTGTAACATTTTTATAATTGAATAAATAAATGAAATTTATATAAATTTACTCCTTGTCGTGGATGCCACAATATTTGCAGGCATGTGGTGGCAATTCCTTAACAGATGTAAGAGAAGTTTCCTCATCTTCTTCTTCAAACTGTAATTCAGCCAATCCATTAGTAATTGTACTCAACTTATTGGGCAATTCTATTTTTCGACCGAATGGCTATATAATATAAATGTTAAAGCTCGATATTCATGTGCAAATAGCAAAAATCATAACTTACGTGGCCGCTAGAACCTGCTACACTTGGTAAAGGATCTTGTTGAGATATTTGAGACTGAGATGGTAAAGTAAAATCGCGAAAATCAAAATCAGATGCTTGTGTATCCGCACCAATTAAATCATTTTCCTCAGTGTCAAGGAAGGTCAGAGTCTGAGAACTTGGACCGAATGCTGCATCTACACTCATCGTGGCGGACTTTTTTTTATTATTTTTAGCTACAAGCAGAAATATTGATATTCGTATGCCCTTATTACATTTATCATATATAACTAACAATAAAAGTTTTAAATACACAATAATGTGAAATTAAATTATTTTCGTATCTTTTAGAAACTTTTCTTTTACACAACAATTTAGAAATATTTTTCTTTATGTGAGATTCCGACATCCGCTATTGCCTTCCAGCTGTCAAAATTGTGCACAATACAATAAAAACGCAAGGTTGCGTTCTTTTACATTTGCGAAATGTCAGAAAAAGCGAGTAAGAAACATAAACGAGAGTGTAAAACAAAATATAAAATCGTACTTCATTTATTATTCGAAATTATTATCAAATAAACGAAGTAAAGAGAAGTGAACGAAAGTATAGAATAAAGAATAAAATCGTACTTACTGCTTTTAGTCATTATTAATAAAAATTACAGTGGTCTCTTCAAATATAATATAAAGACGCAAATAATATCAAATATTAAAATTCTAATAAAAAATATATACAAATACAAATTCTATTAAAATTTTTACCTTCCATTTAGTAAAAAGGAAAATTTTTCTAAAAAAACGAACGCTACTAAGATTTATAATAACATTCCCGAAATTGAAATTATTTTAGACTTGTTCAAATATTTTGAAAACTTTTTAAGTTTCCATTTATCTATATAATTATTAATATCTTTTATTATACAAAATTGCACTTCAATACAATGTTTGCTTCCACTCTATGACATTTAAATAAATACACTACGCGGTTTTTAGATGTGTAATGAGCAAATCGTAAATGTCAGTCGTATCAAGTCTGCAGTGCTGAGTGTTCTTGACATTTTCGTATTTTGTGTAATGGCTACCGAGTAACCGTTTTTCTTTTCTATCTATATACTTATCGAAATTAAAGGGGCTCCAGATTTGTAATATTTTTTATAGTTGTATCTCATATCTATTATAATTATTGAATGTTATACACCTATGAGGGTGCTATAGCAATAAAAGACAGCAAAGCTATGTTACAAAAAAGAAAATTTATTCATTTTTAATTTTTCAGAAAAAAACTGCAATAAAATTTTTTTTAAATTTAATCTTAATATATTAGGGCAAAATTTTTATATTAATACTGTAAGTAACAGTCCAGTTAATCATCCATAATAGAAGGTATGGAATGGAAATAATATTAAAATTGTTAGTTAAAAAAAATAAATTGGTAAATTGTTTAAAAATATAAAAAATTAATTGCTTTTAGAATTATTAGAATAATTTTATTTATTAAAAAAACTTAATAAAAGATACAATTAAAAATGTTTAGAACTTTGACTTAATAAACGTTATCTCTTACTCTTAATGCTGATAACTTAAGAATGAGTTTCAGAATTCAGCTTCAGCTTTAGCTTCAGAATAATAATGTTTTGTGCATTTTAATATAAAATCTACTACATTATTTTGTTGAGCTTCGTAGCTTACATTTGTGCTACAGCGGCGCTGTAATTCCTAGATTTATATATACATAAGGCAAGTTATTATAAGGCAAGAATGTTATATATTCACGGCGGTTATATTTAAAATATTCTGGTGCCTTAAATCTATAATTTTCTTATTTTGTAAAACCAAAAGCTGTAGTTTCAAACTTCATGTGTTTTTAATTATACTTTACATATAATGTATTATTGCTTTCCCTGCTTTTATTGTTTGTACCAAGGCTCTAGAACACCTGGCGCACCAGCACAAACATGGCGCAAAACTATAGACAGAGAACTTAATAATGCAAATTTAGATCTATGGTTTAGATCTATGGCAGAGGCCCTATGCTCCACAAGGAGAAGAGGAAAACAGTAAGTAAGTAAGTAAGAGTACTTGATTTAATGTTAATTATTTAATTTAAAAATTATTGGTACTTAAAAGTTTTTTTTCTTAATTTATAACTTTTTTCTGAGATGTGACATTTTAATATTTTTTTTATTAAGTTACAAGAATTTCTTATTGCGTATATTTATGCACATATATTTGCTCATAATTAAGTTCAATAAAAACCAGTTACTTAAATTTAAAATGCATTAATTAAATATGACGCAAATACGATGCAAAAAAAAAAACGAAAATAACTGTAAATGATAGCAAAATTGCTGTGAAAGGTTTAAACCGCAAATTCAAACACAACTCAATCCAATGAGTAATTAAATTGTTGTTGTTGAGCTTATTTACTGCACATTTAAGTAAATTGTTAACAAGTAAACAAAAACTTAGTTAAAAAACTGCTCAAAGTCGGCTGGATTTTTTTTATCGCAACAATATAAACATACGCAAAAGCTTACTGACCGAGTGCTTAAGCACTGTTGACAGTGTTCTCCAAACGTTTCCTTTTCCAATATTTCAACAGTTGCTTTAACTCTCAGAGTCTGGCGCAATATTGTATACGCAAAAATAGTTATTAGAAAAACAAAAAAAAAATAAAAAACAAAATATATTTCAAATAAAAAAAAATGTTTCATTAGTAGTGAGTCAGTTGAATAATTGTTTTTGTTTTTGTTTTTATTTGTTGCAATTAGCTTTGCTCTCTCGGCGGAACTTTGGCACAACAGGCAGAAAGAGCAGCTCATATGTTGTGTTACTGTTTTTGTTTTTATTTTTCGAGTTGTCTTTTATTTGCAATGCTCTTGTTGTACGTTCGTTGAAGCATTCAGCAGTTCATCAGTTGCCGCCGAAGTTTTAAATTGTATGGTTGTGGTTTGTTTTCGTTAACGGCATTTAGGCGGTATTGTTAAGAAATGTTTTTGCAAATGAAACTTTGTTTTTAAACAGTTTATAAAATATATAGTCATTGTTAAGTAGT